TGTGAATTCTGTCAGAACACCGTTGGATTCCTCGTGGCCACCAAAGCTCTGCTAACTTGAACCTGGAGGGGCGCAAAACAAAATTGAGTGGGTCAGTAAAACAAAGTTTTTCGAAAACTTTTCATTTAAAACATTTCTAACCCCTCACCGTAAAACCTGTATACTTTCCCAGAAAATAGCATATATATAAACATATATATAAGCAAAAATCTCAAATCTCAAACCTTTAACACTTTTCAGAAATATATATATATATATATATATATATATAACCATATGAAATCTCAAAAGCTTGAATTCCCAAATCTTTAACATTTTTCAAGAAAAACATGCCATGCCATAAATCAAAATATAAATCAGGTGAAATAAGGAATCAATCGGAGACCCTGCAGTTGGTCCTATACGATTAATTCAATAGCTCAATATCTCACTAAGCCGGAGTCACCACAGTGACCTATACGGCCCTACTCTGCACATCACTCGGAACTACGTAAGGTAGTCTATACGATGAAAGGTGTAAAAATACGCTCTAGTGCTTCTCTCATCATATCATCAGCGCGCATATCTAAGGTCACCCACCAGTCGGAACCCCTCTAATGGTCTGTACGACTGGCATGTCGGAACCCTCACATGGTCTGTACGACATCCACCTACTTGGATCCAAGGCGAGCGTGCGGTGTGGTGAATAAATATAAGCACTAACACCTAGGGTGCAGGTTATGAGCTCAAAACATCTCAACAAACAATTCAATGAATAAATGAACTCACCTGACTTACCTGTGCCTCCACAGCACCATGCAACATGTATGCATCATATATCAATCATATAACTCATATAACAATTCACATTTTTCAAATAATTCTATGCATGGCATTTTTAAAACATATTTTCATATAAATTCATTTTCTGGGAAAAATCAATAGTATAAAGGTAATACAAAAACAAAACTGCCCACTCACCTGGAGTTCGCCCAACAACTCCCTAGCACCACACATCAAGGCATCATGAAGATTAGCGCCTAGAACAATAATCAAACCCAACCTCAGAAATCCTGCCGATAGAATACATAACTTATATAAGACACGTCACACTACGTAATTCGATCCGGATGATCTGCAACTCAGATTTCAAATCCGTAACTTCCAGAGGTCCACAATATACCTCTAGGACAACATCTTAAAATTTCATTACCATCCAACGGTCGGATCTCCGTCAATTTCCAAAACTAAGTGACGGTTAACATTCTATTTTATGAACTTACAACTTCAATTCCGGAAGATCCGTAAATCGGATTCTCAATCCGTAAGTTCCTATAATCCTCAAATATTACGTATTACAACGTATCAAAGTTTGGTGACGGTCCAACGGTCGGATCGTCAATTCACATTTTCACCTAACCACGAATCGTAACCAACTTAGGTTCAATTATTCAATTTACGTCCATCAATTATCAAAACAGAACCTAGAACCTTAATCACAAGCTAATAATGACATTGGCGGGCCATTGGCCACGCACCGCCGCGCGGGCCGCCGCGGGTGGCGGTTGGCCGCCCCGGCTCGCCGGAAAATTCAACTATTTCCAAAAATTACTAAAATTTGCAGATTTGAAGATCTCAATGAGTAGAACAACTTTCATACCTGAGGCCAAGGCCAATTTGGCCTGGAAGTGCTTCAATTTCACCAAAACCGTGAAGAACCCTAGAATTGGGTGTTTCCAATTCGACCTTCAAACTTGTTCCAACGCCTCAATTACCTCTTGGGCTTTGTTTTAGGTCCTAAGGGAATGCTAATGGTGTTAGTAATTGAAAGAAAACATTTCAAAATTTGGAGAATTTAAACAAAAGGGTCGCGGCACCCGTAGGGGTGTTCTTCGCGAAATCACAACGAAATTCAATGATTCTTGGGGTGAAACGTGAAGAGGGAAGGCCTAGATGATGATTAGGAGTGGTACCTTGATTCAATTCGTCGGAAAATTGGACGAAAATGGCGAAAACCCGCCGATTGGAAGTCGCGGGTCGCGCGGGTATACGGGTTGGGGAAAACCCATTTCTTCCTTCTCTCCTCCGCTTCTCGCCCTCTCTCCTTTCCTCCTTTCCTTCCTCTAGTTGGTCAGCTTCTCCCTCTCTCTTCTCCCCATTCGGTCTCTCCTCCTTCTTCTCCGATTGGGCAGCTTTGCCCAATCCCTCTTCTTTTCTGTTTTCTTCTCACGCACACACACACACACAAAACTTTCTCTCATCCCAACCATCCATTTCATTCATCATTAAATCTGGGCCGTCCATTTTCATAAAAGAATTTCTATATTTTACTAAAATTATAATTCCTTAAAATCCCAACTTCAAACTTTAATAACTTCTTCGATATAACTCCAAATCACGAACCGTCTGCGCCCACGCGTCCGTAACGACGAGTACTACGGGGATATGTCAAGAAAACAAATCTTAGATGGCACGACATGGTGATTAACCTCGAATAATGCACGTACCTTCAAAGGGCATTTTTGTAAAATCCTTTATGAAAACTTTAAAAATTCTTAAAATTAGGGACGGGCTGTCACAATCTACCCACCTTAAAGAAATTTCGTCCCCGAAATTTACACAATCTTTACAATCCAGCAATATCCATAAAACAGCCCGAAACACAACTCTCTCATTCGATTCTCTGACTTTCAAGTAGTTTCTTCCACTGAAAGATTCCTCCATAAATTTTCACCAAACTCAGAGTCTTGAATATCATCCGTCCCCAATTCTAACAATTTCGAAACACAAGACATAGCTTTCCACGGCCTTATGGCGTTACTCTAGGGAACAAACTGAAGGGACCAACATACCCAAAAGTTTAACAGATCCCAATCTCCTTTTTCCATAAAACAAATAAATAACTGTTGCGCTTATCTGGAAAGGTTGATGTTCTCATACTGAAGTAACATAAAGGTTGTGGTTGTATGAGAATAAAATGAAGAAGCGTAAGGATTTGAATTGATTCATTGAATTATAGTCCTTTCATATCACATATCAAATTAGAATTTTTTTGTAATATATTGTATTGTTTTCATGATTTGTTCAACCAATATAAACTCTTTGTTAAAATCAAAATCTATTGCGACATAGTATTACGGTCTAGTGTTCTTCCTCTTTACTTGTAAGTGAGAGATCTTAGGTTCGATTCTCGTCAAAAATGAATTTAAACCACATTATTGCTAATCTATTATAAGACTAAGCTCATTTCCTCCCATTTAATGTATATAATATTGTCGGTTAAAAAAAAACATTTCCAAATCTATTGGTGTTAATGGACCCTAAAACTTCTTTAATATTAGCTACCTTGTTCAAGACCCAAGGGATGGTGAAAATATGGATCCAGTCAACAGTAAATCCGTGTCATCATAATTTATTTATTTATTTATTAAATGATTTCATCATAATAAGTTAATAACTTTAAACTCTTTTCTTGTAATTTAATAGTCATTATTTATAGGGGAAGAAATCATTTTCATATCTCTTCCACCAAAGCCCATCAATCAATTAATTCAGATCATTGAAATTTATTCTAACAATCAAAATTATTATAACTTTTAAAAGAATTTTCTGTTTGTAGTCATTAAATTAAATTTAAAAAATTTAAATTAATTGATTGATAAATTTTGGTATTTATAGAGGCATTGGATATACATGTTGACAAAATGGCGACATCCCCCAAAACTCCAACCTGTCTCTGCCTTCAGAAAGTTGACAGACACTTTTTATGACTGTTTTTAGACTGCAAATACCAAGTACTAACAACGACTTAAAACAATAAAATATTGACTATGAAATCAAATATTTTCCTTTTTCTAACATATAGAACAGAAATGAATCGGCAAGGAGAATGAAATTGGATACCTGATCACGTTATTTATAAAACTTATTTAAAATACATGAAACACTTTAAATTTTACGGTTTTTTAATTAAAAAGGTTTCTGAGATTGACATAGTTTTTCGCTTTAGTAATTAAAAATTAAAATTGTTAGAAGTGATCTTTAAGTTTGTCCATTATAAATCATTCGGTTATTTTGTGAAAAATGTGTCGAAATATCCTCATTAATTGTCACGTGATAACCCTTTGTTTGATATTTTTTTCAAATCAACCTCTCCAGTTAATAAGGATTTTGACAGATTTTTTTTTTTTGAAATAACTAAAATAATTTAAACTAACAAACTTATATACCACTTCTATCGATTTTCATTGTCAATGACTAAAGTGAAAATTTATGTAAATCTCTTAAACAATTTTAGCTAAAAATACATATTTTTTAGTCACATTCAATTTTATAACGATTTTATTCTGTGTGCGTTTGTCCTAATCATCCAATCTAACAAAGTCATGCAACGCTAAGGAAGTATTTCTCGGCAAGTTAGCTAAGAAGTATTTGTCACCCCAATGTGCATGCATTTCATCCCAAGGTTATTTCTAGCTCCTCTCTATCTTTTGTACCAACCACCCCTACGAACCAATTTTAATTTCCTCTTTACCTTCAATCCATCAACCTTTTATCATTAACAACTAGTATATGCATACACATTTTGTGTGTGTGAATATTTTTATTTTTATTTTTAAAATGCGAAGGAGAAAGAGAGAGAACGTGGGAGTGAGAGCAGGAGAGAGATTTTTGTTTTTGATTTTTAAATTTTTAATATTAGACATATGATAAAACCAAATGTAAATGAGGCCCTTAAATAAAAAATAGTAAAATTTGATTTCGCAAAATTATGTTATTACGCGTAATTTTGTTGTTGTGATAGAAGACAAAAAAGAATTTTGTTAATATATAGTTTAGATAATAATAAAAATAATAAATTGTTTATCATTATTGTTTTGACAACATGAATAAAAAGAAGAACAAAGAAAAAACAAAAACGCCATCATCAATTTAAATCAAAATATGATCGAGCTTAGCAATATTTCTGCAACGTAGCAATGAGTCTTCAAAAAATGAAACGCGAAGCGTAAACATTGAGATTTAACTGCTACAAAAAAGATAGATCATATGACTACGAGTAACTTGTAGACTTTTGAGCTACAAGTAACTCAAAGCTTACAGATTTACATTCATGATGCTCTAATACCCAAAAACAAAAACAAACCCAGAAAACAAAGATTAAACCCCACAAAACAGAACCAGAAACATTTAAATACAAAAAATGTTTGTACTAAAATATTAAGATGAAGACCCGTTTCCAAGTCCCTTATAATCCAACAAGTTTAACGGACATCATACATAATAAAAATTAAATCAGAGATCAGTCATTGACTTCAAATTTTATTTTATGCCTGCCCAAAAATTCCAGTAAATTAAGTCTATTTTTCCTTAAAACTTTAATTTTTGCTAATCTTCGAACCCAACTTTTTTCCAAATTGCATTTCGCACCCGCCTCAAGTCTCTGCCTTTCAGAGTCCTCCCAATCCCTTCATGGACGGAAAACGAAGCCCCTCTCGTCCTCGCCAAGTACTCATGAGGCGGAACCCTCCCATCTCCGCCGTCGTCCTCCTCATCGTCACCGTAGAATTCTCCACCGCAGTGTTCATCACTGTCCAGCTTCCTCTGTTCTTTGTACCCGTCTTTGAGAATCTTGGACCAGTCCGGAATGTTCACCGGCAGCGACGATGGCATCACCTTGTCGGCGGCACCCTTCTCCGCCATGCTCATGTTCTTCACCATCATCCTCCTCCCCATTTTCTTCGGCTCACTGTGGCTGAGAATTGTGCTCTTCTTGGACTCAGTAACTGTGCTGGATGATGCGTTGCAGATATCCGCCTCGTCGAATTCGAACAGCCCATCTGAGCCAACTGCGCTGTCGTCCATAGACGAGGCTGGAAAAATGGAACTGGGTTTTCCATAAAAGGCCGACTTCCTCGACGCCATTGATGAAGAAGCAAGCTTGGACTTTTTTGTCTTCTAATTTGTTTTGGGTGGTTTATGCAAATTTTATGCCCAAAACGCTGATTGCTCTGCGTTTTATAATGGTGAGAAATGTGGATAAGCGCCCTTTATTTCTCTCTGATGGTACAAAGTTACATTTGTCATGCTACAAGACAAAAATGGTAAGTGATATAATGTGGCCATCCTCATATGTTTAGCATGGGGATGAGATGCCACATCATTTTCATGCTCTAATTGCTTCTTTCTTTTACTTTTTACTTTTTTAACTTTTTATGGTGTAAAATGATTAGTGATGTACACCAATTAGTTTAATTTGTTTTAATCTTGATTTAACTTCTTAATCATAATAACTTCATGCGTAAGCATATAAGAAAAGGGAAGGCATGCATGTCACGCGTTTCTTGAGACGACCATATTAAAAAAGTACATGGTATGGATAAATAAGCAACATGCGTAACTATTGTCATTCGTTAATTGTATATGTGCATATAGGTTAGATAATCAATTGCGAACGGCAACAACTTTGTGTGAACAATTTTTTTGAGTAGTGGTACACTAAATTTATGAAACATTAATGTGATAAAATGACATGATAAAATCTTAGTTGTAAGATTTAAAGTAGAACTTAAAACAATTGTAACATTAATTGGTATCTTAATATATGAATTTATCCACAATTTAAGATCTATCCACAATTTATGAGTTTGTTTTAGGAGTGCTCATACATTTATTAATTTGCATTTGAATAGATGGTATATTTATTATGGTCTTATCCATAATTTGGAACTTAATAGATGGTATGTTTACCATGGTCTTATCCATAAATTGGAACATAACAAGTGCTTCATGAAAAGAGTGGTGTTAAAAAAGTTATATTTTGTCCTCAACAATGTGGCTACACATCATCACCTGTCACATATTATATTGTAGTACAAGTAACAAAAAAAATATTTAAGCATGGACATCCATTAACTGAACAAGAAGGATTTTCAAAATAAAGATCTCTTAAATCTAAAGTAATATTATTGTTTGCTAAATTATCATTCATAAAAATTCTTATACATGTTGAACATGTTGAACTTTGCATTGCAAGGATTTTGAAAGAAACTCTCTCGACAAGCTAAAAAAAGAACTCAAAAAATGATACGGCCATCAATTTGCAGCACCAAATAACCGTGAGAACATAGTTAAATTTCACCGATAACTTATCATCAGTAATCTCTAAGACAATTGTAATCTCCACGCCCTAAATACGAACCTAATCTTTTATCTAAAGGAAAACTAATGAAAATGGCTTGAAAACTTTGAGTTTTAATGATAAGGACAAAATAAAGGGTAAAGTGAATAGTACCAGGATTGACTTTTTAGTGTAAAAATATGGTTTTTCGTTAAAGTGAACAGTACCGGGTGCTTTTCGTTAAAGTTCCCTTTATCTAATCGTAGTTCCTCAATTTTAAAGATGTCTAATATTCGACTTGATAAATAAAGGCTAATATGCTCATTGTAGTGGTTTAATGTTGTTGTTATTTCTTCACCTTTGTATAGATAACAAAAAAAGTCTTTTACTTGAAGGCAAGTGATTTTCACATTTTCTTTTTAAAATCTAACACACTTATTTTTATATATGGTCATCAAATTAAATAAATTAAGCTAAATCAATATCCAAAATTAAAAATTATGTAAGAGACTAAATAAAATATTTGAAAATCATTTTCTTGTTCCTAGTACACCAACATAACATATAGGACAATAGGCAGTGGCAGAGCCAGTTGGAGGCCAAGATAGGGCCAAGTCCATCCTGGAACTTCACCAATATATATATTGTCTGCTTCTTTATCCTAAAGAGCATGTGGTATATTGGTGATTAGAGTTTGACAATACTAAAGGTTCGAAACTTGTTGTAGCCAAGAACCTTCCGTAATTTGTTAACCCAACCTCATAACTAGCATTATGTTTTACCATATAAAATTGAATTCCGTTTTTTGGCCGGTTCATATAAATAAAGTTTTGTTGCAGTCTTATTAGATTAGAAATGTGATTGTATAAATCATAATGTATCTAGGGATATCTTAGAATATTCTCTAGGGTTAGATATTATCCTATTTGAGTTGTAATCCTATTAGGGTAAGGATTTAACATTCCCTACTACATAAATAAATGCACAATGCAATGGAAAAGAACACACCTCACAATTACACATCTCTCTTTTCTCTCTTTATGCCACACTCCCTCTCTTTTTGGCCTTCATAATTGTTCAGTAAATTATGCTTACAACACGTTATTAGTACGCTCATGACGCTACGCTAAAGAGAATTTGATCCTCAATCAGGGGAGTATTACGTTTTAATTATTTTTTTATGATTAATTTATTATTTTATTGAATTGAGCTACATGCTATTGATTCAATTTAATTTTTCTTTGTTGGACGTGATACAACGTATTAGAGATACAATTCCGGCTTTCCGAGAAGGATCTTCTACAAGTTCAAAAGCTCAAATGTTTTTTGCCAATCATGTTCTTTTAAAATAAATTAAGATATTTGAAACGATCGTGAAACATGAAAACAATCCCCATGATGCATGAACCTCCTATATTTATATTTTCCTTTCAATTATATATATTGCATATGTGTTCATATATTTTGTCAATAAATATATTTGTTCATTCAATATGCAATTATAATATGTGGAATTTGTAAGTCAAAGAATCGAAAGAAAATAGAAGCAATTAGGATTTTATCAAACCCTAGATTTTTCAAAATGAAAAAAAAAGATGTTTTATGGCTGAGTCGTGGCCTGAAGCCACACCGTCGCCAAGCCAAAGTCGAGCCGAGCCAGCAGCTCAGGCCTGTTTCCTCTGGACCACAGAGCCCCATGGGATTTGCTGCAGGTGTGCTAGAAGACCAAGTATTCGGCCTGGGCAAATTTTCTGTGCACTAGGCCTGCAACCCTCAGCCCACACCAGAAGCTAGCAAAAGCTTACTGGGCTTCGTTCTTTGAATGGCCCGCTCCCATCTGTCAGCCTGTACTCTGCTGCAGATTGCGGTTGGATGTTTGTTGGGCCTTAATCCCACTCGGCACGCTACCACTTGTAGCTGTTTGGGATGCTTTGCAACCTTGACCTGAGCCCAAACTGTAGCTTTGCTGTAGCCCCTATTTTCCTGGACAACAGCCATCAATTCTTTGTTGGGCTGCCATGAACTTCACGACCTAAATCATTTTTTTGTTTGCCTGTTCTGCTTCTTGCCCACACCCAACTAGGTTGGGGTGCCTACGGATAAGCCTCATTTAGGCTTCATTTTCTTAATTATTTGGCCCGATGCCATCTAAAATGAACATGACCCGAAATCATTATTTTGCTTCTACATTTGACCTTGTATGGTTTAATCTATTGAATTAATTAAAGTAACCAGCACTACACTAATCACATGACATCCAAAATTATTGGCTTGAAGTCTACTTTTGGACATTAACGATTCAATATTTTATTTCTTTTCTTTGACCACTGACTCTCTTTCGTAGTCCCCGAAGCACTCACACTTAAGGTCTTGAAGCAACCCAAATCCACTACACTTAGTTGTATATTGTATTATGTGTTCTTATAGGTACCTCCTTTTATGAACTAGAAGTTCATAACTAAACTCGAACCTGTAGTTTCGAATTTAGTGCCTTTGAAACTCGAAGTTTTCATAAAACAATACACACATGGAAACCAGAATTTTTCATGTATACCATGTCTTAGAACCCTGAATGTTCTAACTTTGCTGCTTATGGATATCTTATTTCCATAGCACCAATTACAATCTTGTTCCCTCAATTCAGTGGATTGTCGAACCATAAAAAGTTCGATTTCACTGATTTGGATGTTTCTTGACCGAAACAACTTTATGTGGGGTACATGACATGAATCCCCACTTGACTATCAAGAAGCTGAGAACCCATTGAAGCCAACAATGGCATGGAAGAGATGAATAAGTCTCTGCCATGATCTTTATTTAAAGACTTATGCTTAAATCATTACAAACGAAAATACCTCCTAAATGAAGATTCCATGGCTCCTTGGCTCGCTCCTACGGATTGTCTAATCTGAAAGACATTACCTGAAGCACACCATGATTACGTCCATGAATGAGTACGATTTTGAAGTTTATAAATCCGATCGAATTTTAACTGGAGAATACTTTTCTTGTCCTTCCATGTTTCTAACTCGCTCCTGAAGCAGCAGTGTAGCAAGTGGAAGTTTACCAAATTCTTAGATCTAATTACCATCACAAACGTGGGAAAAAGGTATAGACCCAACTTCGGTTGCAGTCTACCGAATGGTATAGACCCAGTTTGGCTGGAATCTACCGAATGGCTCAACCCAGTTCAGTTAAAGCCTACCAAATGGTGATGCCCTACTTCGGTAAGGATGCACCGAAGGGCATGCTTTACTTTGGCAAAGATGCACCAAACGGTATTGCTCTGATTCGGCAAAGGCTTACCGAACAGACCATTCCAGCCTCGGTTGGAGCCTACCGAACCCAAGTCTGGGTCTGTCTTTCTTACAATCTAATTTCAAGTTTGTTTTTACAACATATGGTAAAATCAGGGCCTACCAAGGTATGGCATCATGCCCGGAGCATGATCCTTGGCACTTAAGAACTAAAACTTCAAGAATAAAGGATAATATTCCCGAACCTTAACCCTGCAGAATCTACTTCCTTTTCGATAGAATAGATCATTGGTTATGCACCTGTTCGTGCCTACCAATGTCATTAACGAGTACCATTCTCGTAGTCAATATGTAAAACTAATTTTGCTCCACCGAACATCGTTGGAAGAGCATAATTTTGACATGAATGGCCTTGTTGGCCGAATCCCCTTAGTAAATCATTTACTTTGTGAACATTTTTTTTTTATGTTGTTGGATTCACATTTGATGTTTGTTTTAGTTATGGATAATCTTATTGATATAGTCCTTGAATATGATTTAATTGAATCATGTTTCTTGTATACATGTGACCGAATTCAATTAAACACGTGATTATGTACAAATGTGGGAAAGTTAGTTGTCTG